CCCTGACCATGGACTGAAACTTCTACAACCATGAGCCAAAATTAACCCTTCCTCCTTTAAGTTGTTTTCCCCACAATAAAAAACTAACACACCGTGCTAGATCACATTTATGCTATATGATCATAAGTCACAGTGTATGTTTATACATTTAGAACATTTATTACAGTAAAAGACATACGGTAGTTTATCTCCCTCAAAATAGTCTCCCTCAAGGATATAGCTCAGCAGCACAGTGCCTGTCTGGCAAGCACAAGGTCCTGAGTTGAATTATGGGTACCAAAAAAAAAAAAATACTCTCCCTCATTTCAAACGCACCTATCCCGGCATCTCATCACTTTCTAAAGCAGTTCAGGAAGTCCTCTTTCATTAGTGTCTTTCGTTGTGCTATTGTAGCTGCTATGATGTGTTGAACCCATTCCAAATGTTTGCCTTTCATGGTCATTTTATCTTTGTGAAAGTCACAAGATGCAAGATCTGGCGAATGACGTGAATAAGAAATACCACAATATTTTTATGTGACAAAAATTGGCATAAACTGTTGATTGAACAGGTGTTATCAAACTTACAGTCAATGTTGAGATTTATTTTAATTAACTGCAATAAAAGACACAGGGCCATTAATCACCCTCAAAGCACTCTCCCTTCCTTTACATGAGCATCTGGGTGTCTTTTACTGTAAGGAATTTGCTAAAATTTAAAGTCATGGTATTTTTTGATCGCCCAGCATATTTCTGAATCTGCACGACTCCCCTGATGCAACCATCTTGGAAAACCATACCTATCCATACGCCATTTAAAACCATACCTACCCATACGCCATTTAAAAAGTGATCCTGCTTTTCCAGGGTTGAATGACAGTGCCTGCAGTGGGCACCTGTGTCCTTGGGAGCCCTTCATTCCAGTGGCAGAGGCAATGAACACACCAGTGAGGAAGAGTTCCAGTAGCTGCGAGTACTGTGATGACATAGGAGGGTGACAGAGTGGAACAGGTTGTTTGGAGGGACTGCTGCTTCAGATTCCATTCCTAGGAGATTTTTCACAGAGGTGACAATTGAGGTGGACCTGAATGGCTGGTCGTGCAGGACCTAGAGGGGACAGCTCTCATGGAGCAGAGGTGGCCTGCGTGGGAGCAGCTGGCTGACCGTAGCCCCACAAAGGTATATGAAAGGCCCTGAACTAGGAGGCTGGAGGTGAGAGAGGGAACCAAGCCGCACAGGCCTGGCAGTTCAGACAGGAAGTCTGGTTTACACAACAACCGACAGGGAAGGGAGCCACTGGGAAGTCCAAGCAGAGTAATGTGATTTCATTGCTATTTAGAGCCCTCTAGCCACTCTGTGAGGAACGGGCATCCTGCAGACAGGAAAAGAGTGCAAAACCAGGGTAGAGTGATTGCATTAAGAATCTGACCAAAAGTCAAAACCACCCCATGAGAGAGGAAGATTTGCCACTGATAATATTCTAAAGCACAATCCCCAGATGCTGAAAGCTATTTTCAAAAAAATGGTTGGCAGCAGCTATCTCTTCCTCGTGTGGCTGTGGGCAGTGCCACTGTCAAGCAGCCACCTCCCGCCCACAGGGCTCTCCTGTGGCGGGGACTTCAGCCTCTAGGGTGAGAGGTGATTTCTCCAGTGGGCCAGTGCGGAGCCAGGTGGCCACCAGGGGGGCAGTGAAGAGCACCCATCACCCCAGATCCCAACTCTGTGAGGGAGCCCGGATGTAATAGGTACCAGGCAAGGAGCTGTTAAAGCAAGGCCCTAGTTAGCGGATGTAAACCACAATCTGCTGGCATGTTACATCTCCATTCTTAAGTGTCATGGTCTCCCAATCTTTAACAAGTCAACTGGAGCCAGGATGAGGGGAGAAACTGAGGCCTGAGGTGCCTTGCTCTTTGTTCTTTCTCCCCATCGTGCTTCTCCTCTGACCCATTAGTGGTCCTCAGAGCTGGATCCACTGAGCAGGTGAGGGTGTGAGCTAAAAGATGAACTATGGAGGAGGCAATACCCTACAATCAAGGCACAGATTCACAAGGGCTACTGTAGGAACCGATTCAGACCAGGACCTAGAAGGTCCCCTCGCTGCCCAAACTGAAGCTTCGAGCTTCAAAGAAAGATTGTTAATTACACATTATGGTACCAATTATATCTGAATACATTATGAAATAGCATCTTTGCTAAGCAATTTTACTGTTTTAATTTCTCTCCTCTATCATTTTTAATAATTGTACCTCTGGTTTTTATTGCATTAAGATGCAATTAAGAAATAATAGTCCTTTGTATTTTAAATTTATTTTCAATTATTTTTTTACAACAAAAATTCCACAGACGTCCATAAAAATGCAGCATGCAATATAGTGAAAAGACAAGAAGATAGATAAAATTACCTGAGTTCCATTTAGAGGGAAAATGATACTGTACTTATTTTGAAAACCCTTAGCATTAATTCAAAGGACGGCAAATTCCTGATCAAAGGCAAAATAAACCATGGACTAGCACATTCATATGGAGAGAAAGCCATATATTGTCTAAGGGAAAGGCTTTGACAAATGACATCTCAAAATGCTGAATTTCAGGATTGCTGGCATTCAAAGTTAAAATGACACCAATACCAAATGTGAGCCTAGCTTTGCTAAATTGCATTTCTTTCCAAGCACAGCTAGCCCTTCATGTGGGTTGTTTGGTAACCACATGTGGAAATGGAAATATAGTTAGCCTTCAGTGCTTGTAGCTGTACTGAAAACAAGCCTTGTTTTTATTCTTGACATTTTTCCACAAGCAATGCAGTGTAACAACCATGTACACGTTGTTTTCACAGTACTAAGTATTAGAAGCAATCTAGAGATGACATGAAGTATACCGTAAGGATGTATGTAGGTTATATAAAAACACCACACCATTTTACAAAAGAGATCTGTGCATTCTTGGACTGGATTGTCCATGGGGGGCCCTGGGACCCGTGTCCCATAGATACCAAAGGACAACTGTCTAAGGATAATGTTCTTTAACACCCAGGGAAAAAATGAATAAGGAAAATCCAATTACTTTCATAGTCTCGAGCCATAATTTGTAAGCCACAAATTTCATATGCGCACCTACCAAGGCTGAATGGCATTTCAGCACATGGAATATTTTTGGGTAAGCCTTATGTTTATAGCTAATGCAACCCCTGCTTATCCTCAAACCCAAAGGTCAATAAAGTTTTAGTTTTAGCAAGGGTCAAAGAGTAAGTATTTCAGACTTTGTGGACTAGTATGTTTTCTATCACTACAATAAAATTACTGTGTCATTGTAGCCAGAGATAATACTTCAAAAAATGAAGGTGGCCAGGTACCACTAAAACTTCAGCAATGTAACAGCTCCAGGAAATCTAGCATGGTCTCTATTTTGGTCCAAAGAGTGCCAAAACGAGGAGTGAGAAGCACCCTGAGGACCCTCCTATAAGAAAACAGCAGGAATAAGCAACGAGATCCAGGTGGTCTGAATCTACCTATGAAGACACCAAGCACAGCCTGCCATACCGAGGAGACTCCTTCTAAGACCAAAGCCAAGTCAAGACGTATCAGGAAGGCTTCATTTCTCAATCCCAGAGTTCTTAAGACGCAAGTGCTTGTCCCCAACACTTCCACTCTACAAAAGAGTCTGTCTCTTGAATCAGTGTCCACATGAGGTTCCATAGGGACCTCTGATAATGTGGCAGCATTAGGGGTGTGGGAGTAACTGGTCTACCAGAGGAAAATTCTACCCAGATTCATAAACCACTTGAGAACAAAAAGCCCAAGTAGGTAAACTTTCTCACTCCCATCCCTGAACTTCTCCCTTGAATGGCAAGGAAAGGCCCGGGCAGCAGAGATCAACCGCTGTCATATCTGATCATCCGAATACCTGTGGTCTTCCCTCTCCTGGACTCCTCCTCCTCCTTTCATCCTGCACACCCAATGCACAGCGAATCCTTTCAAGTCTACCTCCAGAACTAACCCACAATCTGTCTGCTTCCCACCAGCATCATCACCAGTACCCTCGACACTGTCCTAAATGTTCGCCTGGATTTGATCTTAACTGCCCCTCCCCAATATATCCTTATGTTAAAAAAGCAGTAAGATCACATCCACCCAGTGGCCCCCGAAACCTTCCAATTGCCTGAAAGTCCTAGGGATTCCAAACCACACCCTCAATCATCTCTCAGCTTCCTCAGCTCCCAGAAGTTAAACCTGACTCTGGCTAAGTCTTTAGCATATAAGGGGCACGAAGGCCACAAAACATAAAATGACAACCCAAGGATGTCGGCAGCGACATCTACACTGTGCAGACCTGCATGGGAGGGAAGGTCAGCCTCCTGACCACAGGTACTGCAAGCGAGAGAAAGACAGGGCAGGGAACCTTCGTATGAAACTCGACTCGGAGACGGGTGGGTGCGAAGCAACAACGTGAGAGTCTTCATTTAGATCCTTTGATCACCCCAAAGTTTTGTTTGTTTGTTTTTGTTTTGTTTGTTTGTTACCAGGGATCGAGCTCAGGCCTGCGAATTTGCAAGGCAGGCACTTATGCCGCTAAGCTAAATCCCAGCCTGCTCCAAAGTATTTTTAACCAACTGTGAAAAACTAATGATGAGACCATCAGGGAAAGCTGAACATAAATATTCAGTGACATTAACAAATGAATTATTGTTCGCTTTTATGTATTGATGCTGAACAAAAAGAACTTTTATCTTCTTAGAGTCATGATGAAATATTTACAAAAGAATCCGATTTCCTCCTTAAACACACACCCTCCCATTTGTCAGTCAAACATACACACCTTTTGGATCCTGCAGAAGTCAGTGCTCCTCAAATGTACCCGTAAATGGTGTGACACAGAGGGGATAAGAGCTGAGAATCAATAGACACCAGAGATAGATTGGGACAGTAAGATATATAGATGAAAAGTAAATTTATTTATATCCCACCATGTCCCTAGAACATTGTTTAATGCACAGGGTAAGGCAGATAGGCTGCCATGACTACTCACCACACAGAAATCAAGCTTCTGACAGTGTTAACATCTGGAAGGCAGCCATCAACCTGGAAGTGTAAAAGAAGAGACTTCTGAGTAACCAACAATATTCATGAAGCCCATGCATTTTATTCCATAGGCAAACACAAGGGCAGCACTTCTAAAACTGGATCAGTAGAAGTAGTGTATCAGCCAGAGCTTAACAGCAGACAAAAGAATGAAGCAGAGCAGACTATTCCAGGACTCGGAATAAACAGAATCCACAGTTCCAAACACAAGTTTCAACCCTCCAATGTCACCTTTTACAGCAGCAATATCCCTGAGTCAGCAGCACAGTTCAGCCAGGCTTACAATCCTATCAAAGCAAGGAAAAGCCAGATGCAGTGACGACACCTGTAGTCCTGTCTACTTGGGCAGCTAAGACAGGAGGACGGCTTGAGCCGGGGAGTCTGGGACAGGCTGAGCAACACAGAGAGATTCTATGTCTTTAAAAATGACAACTGCAAGACTAATACAGATGCATTTTTATGAAGATGGTTAAAATATTTAGTTAATTAGGGGCTGGAGGTTTAGCTCAGCGGCATAAGCTCCTGCCTTGCAAGCAGGCAGTCATGAGTTCAATCCCCGGTACCGATAAAAAGGAAAAAGACAAAAAAAAAAATTTAGTTAATTTATTCCCTTAAGTGAGGAGGGAACAAATTTCAGAGAAAGGCAGGACTAGGGCAGGCAAGGCTTCCTAACAATGAGACGCTGGTCCAAGTGTGTGCACGGAACACCAGTAGCTCAAAATACTGACAATGAGGGGAGGTCCTGGGACATGTCAAACCATCCATGGCTTTTTAGTAGGTCATGTTAAAGGGGAAAAATTCTCCTTATTTTGATATTTGTTTGATTTTTGATAAAGGGCCACGTTACACTGCCCAGGCTGGCTTCGAACCTGTGGTCCTTCTGCCTCGCTCAGTCTCCCAAGTACCTGGGGTTACGGGTGTGTGCCTCTGCACCCGGTTATTTGAATGCTTTTGTAGAAAGGTTAAGCAGGCTTTATTCAGGACCACTGCAAGAGGTCACTGTCAAGGCTACTGCCATAGAAGCAAAGGCCATTCTCAACTCTAAACACAGTAAAGACCTCATAAGCTTTACAGGCGATTAGCAGAATGAGGGTCGGTGGTGGGAATTTACTGAGAGGAAATGTCACAGTTAAGGGATCCTTGTTGAAGACAGGCCAAGAACACAGACAGCAAAGGGAGCGGGAGTAATGCCATCAGAGGCTGAAAGTGAGAAGGTACCGAGGGTCAGGGATTCCCTCCACAGGGAGAAGATGAGCCTGGGTCTGATTAGAAAGAGAACTCCAGTCTTCTGAAGGAAACTCCGGTGTACATGCGGGGTCTTTATTCCCAGAATGGGTGCTCAAGGCCCAGAAAAGTCCAGGCAGGAATGGGAGCAGAAGGAAATCCACCCAACCAGCAGCTCAGCGTGTGCCAGTCACACGCTGGGGCTCACACCTTACATTGTGCCATGCTTTGCAATTTCTCGGTTCCTCCCCCACAGATAATTTCCCTGTTTTGCAAAATCCAGAAATGCCCATTTCTAAACATCAGGCTACCAGATGATAAGGAAAATGTCCCTGGGAACAAGATGCCATGGGAACGGTGTATATACAATTCCCTGTGATGCAGAAGTAGATCAGTCAGTCACACAGAGGCACAGTGAAGTCTTTCAAAGCGGCTTTTTAATGACAAGCATAGGGGGTAAAAAGAAAAAAAAAAAAAAAAACTAAAAGACTGCATTTAAAAGCAGCTTCAAAAAAGCCAGGATGCTTTCAATCACTAACGGAATTACAAAACTCCCCTCACACAAGCTAAGCAATTTCTAGCACTGCCCAAGTCCCAGGGAAAGGATTTAAGGATGACCACGCTGCCCTCCATGTGCCCTTACATGTGCCATCCACTCGCTGGGTAGGAATTATTTAAGAACCCAGAAAAGCAGTGTGCTGAATATTCCCGGCTGCCCTTCATGTGACTTTCCGGCTTCTCCCGCTGGGCTCTGTGCCCACGAATGTGGCCCTCCCTGGCCCAATGGAAGAGGACACAGGAGGCAGGAGCACTGGGCCCCTCTTCATCCCCACAGGGTCCCCTGGAGTCTGCGATCACAGGTCATGATCTTGTGGAGCATCTGCTGTCTTCAGCTCCGGGGGATGAGGGGCTTCTCCCACGCCAGGACGTCACGCCCACCTTCCGTTTTTCTTAGCCCTGCAACCCACATCGCTGCACCCTCTAGCCAGCCTCTGGAGTGTGCTGGAACTTCCCAGCCAGCTTGTGACTGACAACAGTGGAGACAGGACAGCAGAGAACCTGGGATTCAATTTCCCCACACCAGCCTTCAAGTGAGACAGGAAAAAGTAGAAAACCCCAGTCTTTAAGGCAGACGTCACGGTATGTGTGCAGGGGCAAGGCATAAGTTCTGAGGATAACAGTGTCCAACAAAGGCCAGAAATCCTATACAGAAAGTTGTCTATGTGTGCACTTTTCTGAGAAGAGATATCCACAAAGGGAAGGATCAAAAATTTCACTCGCATCTCAAAAGTTGACCAAAAAAAAAAAATGTTAGCAGACAATGCTGCAAGAAATACAATGCTCAAAAAGGACCACAGTGTCCCCCAGGAAAGAAGGGTATACAACAGATGGTGAGCACCTATATCTTCCTCCAAGCAGGACCACAACTGCCTCCCTCACACCCGCCACTGCCTACCCAAGCAGGCAGCTGGGATAGTATGTTCCTGTGAGTGCCTGGCTCCCAGCACCCTCCCAACACTCAGATGACATCTGAAAAACTCATGGGCTCGGCAGGTGTTCAGAGGCACAGGGGAATCACACCCTGCCCTGAAAACCCCCAGGCTGCTGACACACGGAAGGGCATCCAGGAGGGGAAAAGTACTCCGAGAGACTGCAAATACCAGGGATGACCCTATAGGAAATGTCCAAGTGGGCCCCAAGAAGGGAAAAAGCATGGGCAGCCTTACAGGCACTCGTGCTGGCGGCCAGGTCTGTCCTGTGCCTGCTGAGTGAGGCGGGGTAAGTGGTGCACCCTCCCTGGTCTGCTGTTTCTCCCTTGGCAACGTGGAGACCTTCAGTCAGCGCGAACCTCATGGGATAGCTGTGGGCTCCATGGGCAACCATGCCCTGCCTGCCCCTCGCTCAGTGAGCGCCTGCCCAGGCTGTGTCATAATCCATGTCTGAGCTCTTCTCAGCTTCCTTCCCCGCTGGAGTGGCCAGACACAGAGAAGGTGACAAGAGACTGGGGCCACAAAGGAGCGACAGAGCCTCTGCACCACCCGCGGTATCACTGCCCTACAACTCTACCCTTTCCCAGCCCTGTAGAATGCTGCGGTTGGTCAAGAGCCTTGCAGGGGACTGAGCGGGTGGCCTCAGGCGTACTCTATCATCACTCTGTGACCCACTTCCCTCACCTAGCCATCAGGTATAATCGCAATCTCAGTGCCTGTCTTCCAGTGAGGATGAAATGTATCAATTCGAAATTGTGAGAATAGTGTCCAGCAGGCAGAGGAAAAGCTCAATAAATGCAGGAGGTCATACTGCCCGGCACGTTTCAGCTAATTTCCAAGGGCCATTAACAAACAGGCCTCTGTGTTCCAGAGAACGGCCAGATACTGGCACCAGCTGCCCACGAGGCAACTGCTGCGTGGCCTTGATCCCAACACGCATTGTGTATTTCAATGTTCCTAAAATTACCGGACACCGCGCTTAACATGGACCTTCTTATCTGGTAAATGGGGATAATAACAGCATGGAGTTAATGGGATTGGTGGAGGATGAAGGATTAATCTATGCAAAATGCTCTGAACAAGGGTTGGCGTGGCATACATCCGGAACCGTTTCTCTCTGGGTATTTTTATCACGATGATAATCATTGATCTGAGGCACTGTGAGCCTTCCCATGCCAGTCAAATGCAGAAACTCTTCTTCATCCCTCACTTAACCCAGGAATCAGTGGAGCCTGGAACCAAAGATAATGTGGTCTATGACTGCAAATGAATAGCCAAGGCCTCAGTCAACAGAAAGATGGTGCAAAGATCAGGCATTTGCTGGAATTATACCATTCTGTTGGCTTCCTAGAACTGGTGAATTCCATAACATTATTTAGAAGTTGCTGAGTTGTATCCCATTGGATCCACATTAAATTTTGTCCTCCTCATGGAATATTAATATTTGGCAGGTCATCAGGTTGGCTTTTGGGGTGGCCCCTGCAGGACAACTGGTCTCCTACCATATTGGTAAGAGGACACCAAGGCATCATGGGAGATAAACCTTTATAAAGGGCACATGAGGAAGCCAACCAGAACCAGAAGTGGAGAAAAGATAGCAAGAAAAGCATTGAACAGAGCCAAAGAACAACAGAGGAGTCAGGAACGGAGGCTGTCCTTTGTCCCTAACAAAGTCTGAAGTTCCATGAAATCACTACAGGCTGAGTATTTTTCTTACCCAAAATGCTTGGGATCAAGTGTTTCAGATCTGGGATTTTTGTTCTTTCTTTTCAGAATCTGGAATATTTGCATATATATAATGAGACATCTTGGGGATGGGATCCCAGTCTAAACAAAACATTCATTTATGTTTCACATATACATGGTTTGTAAATAATTTAGACACTATGTTAAATAAATTTGTACATGAAACAAAGTGTGACTATGTATACTTCTTGCATTTTGGCATCATGTCTATACCCAGAGAGTTTCAAATTTTAGCGCATGTGGATTTCAAATTTTCAAGTTAAGATTGCTCAATCTGTATCTTCCTTTCTTTTGTCACCTTAGCTGCTTTCTCGTACACTGAAGACTTGGAGAAGAGTAAACAAGGTGTGATGGTTAATCTAGATGGTCAACAGGACTGGGTTCAGAGACAGCTGATTAGCAAAGCACACTTCTGGTGTGTCTCGAGGGGTCATGGGAGAGTGAGCTTGGACGCTTTATCCGATCTCTGGCCCGTTTCACACTCTTCCCCTGTCCTGCTTCCCAGGTGCCATGAGTTGAGCAGCTTTCCTCCAGCACGCC